TGAATGAATAGAGGTGCCTCTATCCGGCGAAGATGTAAGAGGAGGGAGAGAAAGAGAGCGAGCCCCGGGATCGGCTCGGGTTTCGCTCTTCGAAGACTTCTTTCTTTACCCCCCGCTCGCCCTGCCGTTCGCCCTGACCTCTCGGTAGTTGGGTGGCACCTAGACTACCCCGGGGCTCGCGCTTCTTAGCTTACCTAGCTCGGGTGTCGCGTAAGCCCGATCTAACGAGGACCAGACTCTCGGACGCCGAAGCGAACGTCATTAAAAAGGGCCGGTGATCGCGATCCGTCGAGTTTCCGAGAGGAAGTCTTGGTAATAAAGCTGCTTTATTGCAGAACTGCCGATGCTGTATCTTAATGACGGCTTCTTTCGATCACTCGCCGTGACAAACGGCTTAGGTTTTAATTAACCAATCAATTACGATCCACAAATTCTTTAATATTATTTAAGAAGACTGCAACGTGCGGCATTATAAAAATGCAATAAAAAGAGTAATAAAGTACTGAAAGCCGCAATCGGCTGCGGCAATATTGCAATAAATTATGACGCGATAGAATCAACTATCGCATTTAACTATTTGCTAGTTGATAACTTATTAAATTTACATAACACAGTCATAAGCTGAATTACATTTTCAGATTATGTTGAAACGCGCCAGGCGATTAGCCAATCTGCAGAATGTTTGTAATACATGCAGTTTGTTAATTTAGAAGAATAATCTCCGTTATGAGGCAATAAACTCTTATCGTTCTCGCATGAGCGGCACTCTAACGACAACGTTATCGTTTCCATTTCGCTATCGCGTCGTTGCTAATGCAGAAACTGCGGATTCAAGCTTGCATCACTCTTCGGAGTGTCTCATTCAGAATCGTACTTATTGATTTGCCTTCCAACGTGTGTGCCATTTTTGCGTTCAAATTTCCGCGATTGAGGGTGAAAGCGAAAGCTACGCGACGACGCTTGCGACGCGGTGCTCCTCTTCGACGACAGATGCCTTGCGTCCAAATTTGCGGGAGCTCCCCGCGGAGCGGCGCAGCGCCGCGTTAGTAAATTAATTCGATCAATTAATACGTGCTTAAGCGGAGCGACGCGCATTGGTTAATAACCGACCGATCGCGGATGCCATCTCGCCGAGTACCGTCGCTCCCTCTCCCCCCTTCTCCCCCCACCCCCGCCCCGCGCGCGCACTCTGCCCTGCGTTTCGCACCTACGCGATTGCGAGAATGTACGACGGTGGCTGTGCACACACACGCGTTATGTGTACGCATACGGCGTGCCGCCGGGACCCAATCGATACCGGTGGCATCGCCGGACCGCCATTTTATTTCACGGCGATCCCTTTCTCCACCACACCCCGCGGCGCACACTCAATCGCGAGAATCCTTCGCAGGACTATTCGTCCGTTTCCTCCGCGGTCTCGACGCTTTGCTCCCGATACCTTCCACTTTCCATCGTCTTTCGGAATTCGAGATAAATATGTGATTTTTATGAAAGAGTCGCTTGAAAAGATAAAGCAACGATGAAACTTCGAGGTTAATATAAACTTGTCCTAGTCGTTAACTCGCGATCCGAAGGGGGTCGACGAAAGTTACGAGCCTCGACAAATACCGGCGGTACCCCGACAGAGGGAGGGAGGGGGAGAAGGTTGACACCGCATTCGTGTTCAAGACGTCGACGTAATCGGAACGAGCGATCGAGGGATTCGATCGAGATCTGATAATCAGGTTGTTGGCACCTGTGGCAACCGACGTAATTAATGCCGATGCTAGGTGTGCTAGCACCCCCGCACTTCTCTTCCCAGCTCGTTAACTCTCGGCGGGACATTACCGCGCAAATTAGACAAACCGACCACATACCGCTTTTCCCCTTTGTGTCTTTCAACTTTCCTTCCTTTTTCCTTTTTTTAACTCTTTCTTTCTCCTTCCTGCGGTCTTTTTTTCTTGTGCTCCCTTGACTCCCAAACGCGGAATAAAGTGGCCGTGAATCGGCCAGGAAGTGGGCGTTTCGCCGTAGTGCAGCTTCCAAGAGGTACGAAGAACGAAGGCGCAAGAGGGTGGAAGAGGAAGGGGCAAGAAAAATAAAGACACGAAGAGGCGCAGCTCGATCGTCGCAGTCGCTTTCATTGCTGTTGCTTTTCCTCGCTCGCAAACTGCTCCCTCCGCGTTTGTTCTCCCAAGTCCGACTGTTTTTAGTCCGATCACCCTCCTCTCCCTCCAGCAACCGCGCTTTTTCAGGCCCCACCTTTTCTCGCGGGGGTAATTAACGATTTAACAGACACGCTGGATGAGCGGTGCCATGAGTCAGTTAAGCAAGTTGTTATTAAGACTGACGCAGTATCCCTTTAAGGAGAGGAAATAAAGAGAAGAGAGGAAAGAAAGACGAACTGAGTCGGCATAAGAGAGAGAAAGAGAGAGAAGGAATAAAGTTTATTGCGTATCCTAGAATATAAATCCTCCTCGGGGCATTCTACACACAAGGAATTAAACCGTAAGGTACAAATTAGCATAATAAGGTACGAAGAAGAATGTATCGATGCGAGGAATGACGCAACGAATATGAAAAATCGTAAACGGAAACAAAACTAAACGTTGTACGTTATAGCTAAAGAAGTGCATTAATTTAACAAGTATTGTAACATGTAAAATTTTGCAAAATTATTTAGAATAAGATTATAATAAATACAGCGAAACATTTAGGAAAAGAAACACTTTCAGAAAATTGAATTTTTTAGACAGCGCAAAAATATCATTAATTTTTGAACAAATTACAAATATTTTTAACAAATAATATATGCACTTTTGTTAAAAATATTTTGTTTTATTTAAATTGTAGGATAAATAAATTAAGAAACTTTTCAAAGACAAAATAGCAGACGAAGACGTCAGAAAAGGGATCAACCATTTAAGAGAAAGTCCCTGACAGGAGCGAAAGATCGGTACAAAGGATACCAATGGTGCAGGACAAAGAAATACCGATGGTGAGGCGAGCAAAGCCGTTAATGTTTTGTGTATTCAAATAAAGAGAGGCGGTGATGCGCGCACATTCGCACGCAAACCGAGACCGGGCTCGCCCACCGGCTAATGGGTTTATAATGCCTTCATTTCACATTAAAACGCCACCGCGCTCCCCGAAGTTCTGTCTCAACGACGATTCTCGTGGCGTGTCCTGAGGGACCGAGCTGACCCGATGCCTGCCCAGGATAATGCGCCATTCTTATGCGGAATAATGCAAGTACACGGCTATGCAGAATTCACGCCGAAAGCGAAGAAGCGCCTGAATATTTCCCGGGTGTTAAAACCGGAAGAATAATATCTAGAGAAGAAGTGACTGATCGCGAGCATTTTAGGTAGTAGACTGTGAAACGTGCTGCGGAACGTTAACATACATATAATTCACCTCTTAATAAAGTGCAGTAAAAACCGTGAAAGTCCTAAAAACAAAGATAATTTAAGACGCGCGTATAAAAGATGTCTGAAAGATTAAGACGTCTCTAAACGTCTTTCTGGGGCAAGTTTTTCGTAAATTACAGTCTCATTTCAAGCCCCGCTCGCGGTAATGCGTTCCGCTTTAATGAGCGAAGGAGACACATGCACCGTCGTTCCCGGCCTTTTTCCCGATGGCGCGATCGCGGTCGCGTGTTTTACGACGACGCGACGGGAGAGGCCCTAGTCAAGCGGCGGACGTCCTCGGTGTTTCTGCCGCTTTTTCCTTTTTTTTTTCCCATCATAACGCTCTCACAGTATCACAATCCTCTCGGCGCCGTCGCGAACACCGGATTCCGTCGCCCTTTCGTGCCGAACGCACATGTGATTTACGAGCGAAGGAAGGATCGCTCGGCCGGCCGGCTGTACATCTATTCACGCCTAATGCCCGCCTGATATGGCCATAACGACGGAAATGTATTCGTCCTGCCCACTTTACGACACGATGATCGCCCAACGAATTAATAAAGCGAATGTTACAGCAAACGATAAATTAATACACGCGTAAAAACATTTTAGTATATTCCCATTATTTTAATAGACGGCGTAATAAATGTTAAAATTCTTGTAAACACTTTCGCAATTTAATAGATAAATGCTGTAATTATTTTTAAAAAATGGCAATAAAAGTTTGTATAAATTGAATAAAGCAAATAATTGAACGAAGATATGCGTCGCATCGTAGACTTATAAGATTAAATAGCCGACGCCTTGTAAATTTTGTCGTGTTTTCACTTTCAAGATTCTTCAGTTTTAGTAAAGTAAAATTTCAGAATTTTTTGTATAATCCAGCAAATAATAACATTAATAATATTAAAAACTTTACAGAAGTTACTTAGCTGCTTGCCGTAAAAATTTATACTTCACACTGTATTAAACAATTTAATGAGTTCAATGTACGTACACTTGCACGTGTAAGCACATTTGGGATTTACGTGCAAGTAATAAAAATGTCTATTCGCGGAAACGATGAGCGCTTGTGTGAGAGCGATCTCGTGACGCGTCGGCGGTCAGCCCGGAACGCTTCGCCGGCTCGCTTTCCCAGCAGATGGTGACTCTTTCATCCCCTAATCGCACGGTCGGCTTGAGGATCGCGTGATGATGCCTTTAAACGGGGCATCCTGTAGCTGGTTAACCGTACAAAACCGCCAACATTTGCCTAAGCGTGTACACGCCAGCCTGAGCAGAATCACTGCGCACGGAATATATAATGGCTCTTTGCCTCGATTAGACTTACCTTGCCACGCGAAGAATGAAGAAATAAATCCTTGCGCGACTCGTTCGGAGAATATCTGCTTGCGCGACGATAAATAATCTACAAAAAAGAAATTTTCCTGTTACTTAATAAGTAATTTGCACTTTTCGTGCGAATTATGTCGAATTGAATTTTCATAAATAAAAATGCACATCAACTTTGATTTTTTTCAAGGTTCTTGTAATTTAATGAAAAATAACTTTTCGGAATAAATGTAACGAGAGAGGAATGCACGAGGACGAGGAAATATTCGGAACGGCGCGCTCGGTACAAGAGTTTATTAGGGTTTATTTACAAGGGATCAGCTTGCACAGCAATAGGTGTATGCGTTCTTCACAACACAAGCATTAACAATATAACGCTCTACACTAACACTATTCGCCGTGGCGATAATAATCCTTTAAGCGCACGCGGAGAACGCGCCAAGTGTCACTCGGAACATTGACAATACGAATTCCCGTCATCCTCCATTTAGACATAACTGAACTCCTCTCGAAAGTCGCAGTCCTCAGGCGCTTAAACTTTCGATTTTACCGAAATTCTGATCCTTCGTTCCTCCGTCAATCGAAACATGTCGCTCACTTCGCGCCCCTCCGCGACGAAATACGGAATCGAAACATAAATAACGATAACAGTAGGCTCGTGATACGAAATATACAGCTTATGTTACAAGAAATAGAGGCGTAGTTACCTTACGTCGCGAGTAGATATATATATTTATATATATATATATATACCTATATACAGTAGACTTTAAGTCGCCGTACAACTTTAGTTGCCTTAGAGATGCATATACGTGTATTATGCGCGGCAATTATGCCGCCTTGAGAATGCAAATGGTTACATATTTACAACATTCGTTCTTCGCATGTATTTCGCTAAAAATCGCTGTGATCCTTGGCGATCGCTCGTTCAGCTTCGAAACAATGAGATCGAATCACCCGTAACGTTTCTTGTGTAATACTTATAATCAGTATTAACTCAGCTGCGAAGAGGAACAGCTTTCGCGAAGTAACAAAAAAAAAAACAAGTAACGTAAAATTTTCGCACTAAGAATTCGAGCATCCGATTAAACGTCTCTTCGCGAATTTTCCTCGAGGAGTTTCCACGAGAAATTAATACATCGAAAGATATATTCCATAAAAAAATCAAATGAGAAAAAACTTTGAAGTCTCGCGGCGATATCCTTGACGTCTCTCATTCCCGACGTCTTCCGCGAATGCAACGAACTTTTGAACGGCGGTATTCCTTCGTATATCAGTTCCAAATGTGCATCCATATGTGCATCCCAACTACTAGGGTCATAGCGACCCTATCGCTGCTGATCGCCGATCGAGGCAAGGATATACACAGGTCGGGGCCCTTCGCGGTTCCAATCGGGAAACAACGAAACTCGTCGAGTCACGTGGGACCGCTCGAGTCCTCCGCGCCTGCCACCATGTTCGCCAAAGGTCGAGAGTTCAGCCGAGAGAGGCAGCATTCAGACTCTCGAGGAGCGTGAGCCTTACGTTTCCTTCTCCGCTATCTCTCTCTCTCTCTCTCTCTCTCTTTCTCTCTCTCTCTCTTTCTTTGCCGCGTGAAGCGAAAGATCGAAGCCGACTCGTCGAGAACCTTTGACACCACAATTATCGTCGCTATTCATGCCGGGTTCCGCGAGTTTCGTCGATACACCCCGGCTCGCGGCGATATCCTTGACGTCCTCCTGATGCCATGCGACGCGTCCGTGCGACGCGCGGCACGCGTGATGAAAATCGATTTCCGTTGCACAAACGTTTTACAACAATTTGTCACATTACGCAAATTTAATTCCCCTTTTTTCATACAGGTATCCTGTATTTATCTAACGGAGACCGGCTCCTTCGAAATTCTAAAAGTAAAAAAATTATTCAATAAATATTGCACGTTTGATAAACGAAAGACGACATACATTTTGTCGGAAATTGACGTTCTAAACATCGAGAAAGAAGAGAGAAATTATGTTTAATTTGTACAGATGACACGGTGGGAGCCAATTTTCACCGTGCGCAGTTTCCCTCGAAAACGAATATTGGCAAGCCGATGCGCGTTTCTCACCGGATATACATTTGTATCATTCCGCACGATGTATTAGCTACTCGACGATTGCGTCGATGAATGAATTCCCCCGATTTCGATCTCAGTCGCACAAAAATCCTTAAAGAAATCTGAAAATCGTCGCGGAATCTCTCAGAATCGCCCGAAAGGAGAAAATCGATTTTCGTCGCGCAGCCTTAACGAAAAGTATCAGACCCCTCGGCGAGAAAATTGCCACCAGTCCTTCATTAGCGAAGCCACGGAGAAACCAGCGACTACGAGGGCGAGAGGTCCTGCGCCTCCCTGCTGAGACTGTCCGTGGGCGACGGCGTGGCCCTTCTGGACGGCGACGGCGACGGCGCGGCCGGCGTCGAGGACTTAGGGGCGGTCGCCGTGTGGTAGGGCGAGAATCGGTGGTGGGCTAAAGCGAGGGGCGACGGATAGAGCGGCCGCGGAGCCGCCGGACCCGTCGGATTCTGCTGAGAACTGGAGGCGGCCAGCTGCTGCTGATGGTGCGCCGCCGCGAAAAGAGTGGGCCCGATCGACGAGGCGGCCCACCACAGATGACCCAGCTGCTGCTGCTGCTGTTGCTGGTGCTGCTGCTGCTGCTGATGGCTGGTGCCCGCCGTCGACGCGCCCGGATAGACGAGAGCTGGACTGACCAGCTGGGCGTAAGGACTGACGGCCACGGCCGCCGCCGCTCTCAGCAGCATCTGAGAACGCGCGGCCCACAAAGCTTTCTCCTCGAGGCTGAGGTTGCTCGTAGCTCCCGCCTGGAGCTGCTCTATCTCAAAGGGCAGCCGATGCGGGAACCTAAGTGTCTGCTGCTCCGCCAGCATCGACTCCATCGTTTCCCTGAAAGGGAAGCTGCTCCATTATGTATTTCGTCTTCTAGCCTCGGGATTCTTCGGGACAACGGGATGTTGACGGTTGGAATGGTGGATGAACGGTGGGATCTTTTGGTCTTTACATAAACTTCGCCAATGAATGCTTCATTTCTATTTCCCCTGAGACTTTTCTAGCATTAACATTCCTCTTTCCAGCGATAATTTACAATTTCACGGATCAGCAAACATGATGAATCGCTTGTTAATTTGCAAAAATCGATATTTTTCTTTCCGCTTTTGTTACAATTTACAATTTTCTACATAAAAAAATCTGCTTAATCATAATTCAAACATATTAAAAATATCTATTGAAGAGCATCGTTTTATTCGGCGTCTGTGCATGTGTACTTTTAACGCGATAACGAATCGGTTGTAAAGAGAATTTATCGGAGAGAGATTGGAAGGGGATCGACAATATTTTATAGAACTCTGAATAATTTGAAATAATTGCAGAGCAAAATTGCAACTAAAACGCAACACAAGTTATCAAGCAACTCACCTCTCGAAATCTGTGAGACGGGAGGAGTCCCGAAAGCCCTTGGCAAACGGATTACTGTCGATCTTCAGCTTCGTGATCTGTAACAGAACGGAAAAGCAAACGGTCGGTTAGTTCGTGGCGGACGGATAGATCGACAATCGGAGAGCCTCGGACTCGCATTAACATCGCACCGATCTCTCGCAAATCCCCCGATCTTATTACCCGGCGCGCGCGCGGCGCGCTCGGTTTCGCTCCGGGAAAATTACGTCACCGGACGGCCAACGGCGCGTGGCGGAAAACGGCCGGCTGTTTCGAAACGGTTCGTTCCATCGATCGGGAGTCAACGGCTCGTAAAATTAGAAGAAGGCGGCGAAGCGACGTACCTACTATCGCGGGTAGGAGAGACGGAGTGGGAGAGGATGTAGGGAATCAGAGGGATTGGAAATGAGATACGGGGAGCGTACTGTCGATGCGCGGGGATCCTCGCGAGCGTTACGGCAGCGAGCCGGCGCCCGAGGTTTTTCTGGAAAACGGCAGCGGAGGAAAACCGCATATCCGGTGGTTGCTGATTCATCGCTCGAGCCGAATATTGCTTTTGACCGCGGCGAGATAAGCGCGATACGAATGTCATGCGACAGTTATCCCTTCGATAAGGTGCGCTCTGTCGCACGGTAAATTGGGCGATTTTTCTTCTCATTGATCAAGCGATCAAAGGATCGTTTCAAAAGCGGCGAAAAATGATGAGGCATGCATGACAGATTTAAAATATGCGTTTTAACGTAACTTTCGGAATTTCTAAAATAACGAAGACACTTTAACGCATAAAAATATGTCGGAAAAATGCTACTGTAGTTGCCGGCTGACAGTAGCGACCCTGCTAATAGAATGCTTTTGTTGCTATTCATGTATCTTCTAGAGAAACTAGGTCGGAATGTAACATATATATGCAATATATGTTATAAATGATTTTCTTTCTTTTTACATCTTCACATTTTTTTTTTTCACAATAGTCCTATTGTGGCGGTTCCTTAGCATGTTAGCCGGCTCTCTTGCTGCGAGGGAAAAGAACGCTTTGTTCGCTCCTCAACACTCGAAAAATCATCGACCAGCACGGTGGTCCTCGGCAGGAAATCCGAGAAAGTTTGCTGCGTGTTGGACTACACATCGTCACGTTTGTAGTAACCTCTTAAGTGGTCGGACTGTTTTCCATCTCTGTTCCTCTCGTTCGATGCGCCACCCCTATGGAAATCCACCCTAAGTCGGCACTACCCTAAGTTGGGTGTTTCGCGTTACCTTACGGGCCCACCCACGACGCGGTGGATACACAGGTGGCCTCACTCTCGAGACCCTTTGCGTCAACCAAGCCCCACGTCCCGCGCCCCTCCCGCTTCCCTCTTCTTCCGCAAAACTTTCAGAAGACAGATTTTGTTTGCCTGTTTCCCAACGGATTACCTGCTCGGACTGTCGTTAAGTTTTCAAACATAAGGAGGCGTGTTAGACTGACGAGAATTTCCACGCGTTTAAGCGCGAAGCGAGTCAACATTCGCAAGTCACAAAGTACTTATGACCATGAAAAGCATGTTAATGAACGAATAGGATTTCCGGTAAAGACCGTAAAATCCTCAAATTTCGCCTTTTATCACGAACTTAATCCTATTACTTTTATTGTATTTTAATCGTCTTATAATGAATTTCGTATGGTTATATATATATATTTTACCTCAAAATGTATCTATATATATTTCAAAAGAAAGAAAAAAAGAAACTGAAAATAAGAAATAATTTAGCTTTAAAGTATAAATAGTCGTGAAATGTGAACCATTATGCTTTAATCACGTATCAATATCTTCCCAAGTAAACTTTTGCGTCACTTTCAAAATAAATTTTCCCACTTTTTTATAAATCACATAAATATGTTAAACGTGCACAAAATTATTGTGAAAATAATATAGTTTATTATAGAGAATTAAAATAAAATTCACGATGCACGTCCTCAAAAAGGTAACAACGTTTTCAGTGAGCATGATAGTTTTCAATAAATTTTCCAAAAAGCCCGAGCTTGGTAATTGGGTGATCAGACGACGCGTTAATTAGCGCCCTCCGCGTACGCGCTGGCGCTCAAGTGAAGAAAAACCTCACACTGCATAAAAATATCAAACAAGCGCGCGCGGTGATATCCCTCGACACGGACCCATCCAATTTCCGTCCGGCGAAGCAGCAGGCATAAATCAGCCTTGTCTTCCGGGTCGAGTGTCACGGACGAGATGTGGCACGATTCGTTCGAACGACGCGCCTCCGACTGCTTCGACTTTGGGATACCGACGTCTTTCGGGCGACCCCCAAGACGAGACACAACACGCGCGTATTTATTTGGAAAAGAGAGCCGCTTGTCGCAACGCCCGTTGGTGGTCCAATTAATCCGCACTGTCCCAAAACTGGGAAGCAAATGAGGCGTCCCATTTCCGCGATAATCGACCAATTTAACTAAAACGATCGTATTACATCGACACTACAAAATTTCAACTCATAAAATAATGAAATGTAAAATAAAAATATAATAATTCTTTTAATTACGAGAAGTAATGAGATTTAAAGTTGTAATTTTGTACGTAAACAATAATATAAGATTTAGTTATCTGATTGTCGTAACAAGACGGAGATAATGGTTCTCAAAATTAATACATCTTATTTAAATGCAGCAATATTGTATGTGTGTGTGATTCGTATCTTTCCATTTCCGATACAAAAAGTTCGTCGAAGCGCCACGAGTCTTGTAATAACATCTGTAATCTATAATCGATGCGTATATATAAAGCAGCCGTCGCACCCGTCCTCGTCGTGCATTTTATCCGGTTTATCGGTAGCAGCGATGACTTCACGACTCGCGGCGAACTGGCGTGCCCGACGCACGCGTCAGCATCTTCTTCCGCGTGTTCGTCGCAGGCGGCAGCTGGGACTGGAAGTCGTCGCGCGACTTCCAGTTTATCTGCTCGTCGAAAGCTCGCCGCCGTTTTCGCGTCTTCGGCGACGGAGGTCGAGAATAAAAAAAAAAGAAGAAGAAGAAGAAGAAACAGAAGCAAGGCGGCAAGGCAGCGAGCAGAGAGTGGCACTCTTGGTGCGTCGAGTGGGTGGTCCAATTACCCTACGGTTTCGCGCTCACGAGCAGCACGTGCAGGCCCGGTAATAAGACTCTTTCCTTCAAAGCTGAGGCTAAGCCGATGCTAAGCCCGGGGCCGTCTCGGTTTTAGTTACGATTCCGCTGACATCATTAGCCAAACATCTGGCCCGCCACCACCACCAACGCCGTCATCATGGTCGTCCCCTCGACAACATCGCCACCTCCGTCCTCCTCTCCGTCTGCATTTGCGTCTCGTCATCGGTCGTCGCCTGACGATTCGCATCGTCGTCGTCGTCGCCGTCGTCGTCGTCGTCGTCACTTTACGAGCGGATCGTTGCGCGGGTCTTTGAGATCCACGAGACGGAATATACCGGACGCGAGTTTGGAACGACTACCGGTCTTTGATATCGACGCTTTGCCGCGCTTTACGCAGCCGGCGCTTGCCGTCAAGTTCTCGGCTTTACAGCGGGTTTGCTGATTCGCATTAGCGTTATGCCTCGTGCCAATTTCTCATTGTACGCACTTTCAACATTTTAACTCCGAATGTTATTCGGAAATTGTATTATCAATTTTATATAAAATTAAACGAAGACTAAGGTTTTATTATATCCACTCGTGATAATCGTCGTTTCATTTTTTTTGTGAATTGCAATTTAAAAATCATTAGTTTTCGAACCTTTTACTGAGAAATATGTAGAATAATTGAAATATTCTGTTATCACAAATGTAGATGCGAAATTATAGTTTCATGAAAATACTTTTCGCAAATTTATACGAATGGAAATTCCGAATGAAATTTAATCGCCACATTTAATTCCGCCTCACATTGACAGATGAAATTTCATTGAATGCGTTGAAGTCCCGACGCCACTGGGACGGGCTTTCCGACAAACGCGGTCGACCCGTCGAAGTTATACGATTTCGCTGACACGGCTCGGCCAAACGCTTGGACCACTTCCCAGACCGATTTACGATGTCGGCCGTGTAGCGCGCAGCGAGCGGTACACCGCGTGATAAATTCGCCTCGCATGCAACGCCGTTCTGCTCGGCTCGGTAGCCCCCGAGCCCGATGACCGAGCGCATCGCCCGCCGCATGCGAATAAATCCTCGCGGGAGATGCATCCCGAGAGATGACGCTCCGCCACGCATGAGAACGCATGCCGTGCTGCGCGCGCGGTGCACGAAGTGCGAACGGGACGTCCGGCGATTTTTCGTGTTCGCGAGTCATTAGAGAGAACGAGATGATTAACTAGAAGAGTATCAAGCGTGGCCAATGCGCGTAATGAAGAAGCTGTACGCTGTAAACGTCGTGAGAGGCAAAATAAAATTATATCGAACAAAAGTGGCTCCGACGAAATGACTCATAAGCTCTCCGAATCGACGTCGAAATGTTTTCAATATTTCAAACTTCAATATTTGCATTCGTAACTTAAATACAAAGCCCCGGGAAATGAAATAAAAGTTACAAACACGCCTCGTTACCCACGACAATGCGCCGTGCCTTCGTGCCGTCATCACGCACGTCCCTTTATACACGACGCTTTTTGCGGCGCATCGCGTCCCTCGGGAGGAGGCCCCGATCCCGTCTTTAAACGTCGTATGTATGTACGTACGTCGCATACCGCGCTCGCCAAGTAATTTGCAAGAATTCACTCCGCGCAGATTGTACGGGAAAGTGCCGTTGTCATTACTGCCGGTTAATCGACGTGCAAAAAGCCGCATCTACAGGGTGCTCCATCGAGCTACCGAGCTCATCTAAATGCGTCAATAAATTTTAATTTCTTCTTTTTTTTCCTAACAATTTATCGAGACATAATTATGTTCGAATTATGTATCTGCAAACTTTAATGCGATAAGCAACAATCTTCTTCTTTCAATCTTCAAATGTTTTCTAACGGAAGGTTCTAGCTCGCTCCACGGATATTTTATACGTGTATCCAGTTTCCGTCACCGTCAACTATTCGACATTCGGACATTTTG